AAACTAATCTTTCTTCCCTTTATGTACCATCAAGCAATCTGTGGCACAGGAGAAGAAAGCTTTTGGATAGATTTTTCTTTTTTAAAGGAAGTTATCTAATCTTTTCTCTATAGCAAGAATGTTTTGAGCTGATTTTATTTATTTATCATTTAATACTTTAAAAATTTAAGAAAAAGAATGGAAATGAAGCAAATCTTATAAATATTGTCATTCTTCTTCATATTCTATTTCAGTCTGTGATGATTGGAAGATTTTTTTTTAGTTTTACTTTTCCACATTTTTTTTTGTCCACAAACTTAACCTTCTACTTCCTAATTCCAAATCTTGGCTCCTCCTAGAATTTGCAATGGGATGTCCTTCTTCTCTATGCTGAAACTTTCAAAATGCCAATGTTCATAGGGATAAACAGGACCCATTTAATAAGCTTGTTTCTTGAAGGGTCTCATTTCACTCAAGGCAAATCCCCCAGTATAGCAAGTGTTGGCCACCTTGATTTTACCACTTAGTATTACGAATTAAACAGAATTGCTTATATTGAAATAATACATTGCCTGTGCAAAGTTGCGATATCTTAATATTTGGTATCACTATGCAGAACTATAAGGGGAAAAAAGAAACAAGTCTGTTTTACTTATTTCATATTTCAAATTAGATATCAGGCAAGTGACAATGTAGAAAACAAGCATCATTCCTTAGCAGCTTCTCCCTGCCAGACACCACTACCCCTTAAGACATGCCCTGTTAAGTCAGTTTCCCAACTCCAGTTGTATGCCAGAGGAAGAGAAAACTTCAGGGTTAGGCTTGCTAGACAGGGCAGAAATGTCTAAGTCCTAATAAAAAATATTTAAATCTATTTTATTATGCACTGTCAATTATAGAGTATTAGTACTAGGCTAGTGTTGTGACTGCTAGAGACCATTCAACTACTTCACTTTAAGGATTAAAAACAAATGAAAAACAAAAACCTGAGTGTCGGAGCAGCTGACCAGTTCCTTACATAAGACCACTGAGAGTGATAAGGCAGATACTTGAAAATGCTTTTCCTGATGCCCAGTTTATTATTTTGTTACTCGACTGTTAACATCTGAGCTCTGTGCTCTGTTCAGGCCAAGGAGACAAATTCACAAGTTACATCTGGCTCTAGTTAATCAGAATGTTGGTCAAACATATTCCCTTGATCATGAATGGAAATGTATCAGAGGAACAATAATTCACTTTCAGAGATTACAGACCTCTTTGGAAACCTAATGAAAAAGCCTCTATAAGAACAAATATAATGTGAACTTGAATCTTATCTAGAAATTTCTTCGGGGCCACAGACTCCAGGTTATAGCCACTTGCTTCATCAATTCTGATAATTTATTTATAATAACACACCCTATGAATTGCAGCAACAATTGAGAGCAAATATTATCTGAAAGAATGGTCCTTGAAAAGATTTTATTTTACTGTAAAAAAGTTACATAAGTATATTTTAAGTTGTATCACCTAATTTTAAATTTTGAATCAGTGACCTCCACTCTGCTATGCAAAGAATAACCCTTGGGGTTTGTAAGTGAAATAATGAAATTTTTATTTTTGTCAAGTTTTAAATTTCATACTTCCATAATTATCATTTGTGATTTAAAATTATGTATAATATATTAACACTGTGCTATCTGCACTTATTTATAAGTAAATTATTATGTACATTTTGGGATGCATATGAAAACATGTTATAGCGATAGCCATTAAAATAATTTGAAGCTACTAATCTAGCTAAAAAATTCAATGGGAATATTCGCCTGCTTTCAATAGATCTCCAGTGCAATTGGTTAAAGCATCTACAGTTTTTACTTCTAATTTCTTACCAGGAATATAAACATTTATTAAGACATCAATTCTTCTCTTTTCATTCCTATTTATTCCGTGTGTGTGTGTGTAAACTCTTTCAAACTGTCCTTTAAGGATAAACTTTTTGAAGAAACTATTCAATCCTTTTTTCATTGCAGAAAAAGTTTAAACTGATTACATGAACCCAAGAATTTCAGATAAGCTTAATAAGCCTTTGATAAGGCTTTTATTATGATTATTGCCTTTATGCAGCAGGAAGGGACTATGAACAGAGACACAGAATGAGCTATGTGGGCAACTCCACCCTTCCCAGAGTGGTTTTCCCTAATGCTGCTGTCACTGTGTGAAATTCCAGACAGGGCACATACCACTGAGTGAGAATTGAGGCATGACACACGCCAAAACTGGGCATTATTTCCTGCTGCATTTCTTCATTATCATGAAAATTTTAAAGGTGAATATGTTTGAGTTCCCAAAATATGGTAAACATGTCAAAATTATGTTTTAACCTAGGAAGGAACTCATATGAGGCATAATGGATACAAATTCCTAGGGATGATTTACTTAATACAGTGACTTTGAAACATTTTGATCTTGACCAATAGTAAGAACTATATTGACATAGATTGTATCTTGTATAGAAATAGAATAGAATAAAAATAGTAAGTGTCTAGTATAGAAATTATATACAAATATAAATTTTTAAAAAGTAAAGGTGGCTTATGTTGGGGTTTAAGTGTGCAGAGTTTAGCTCCTTCAGGCCTGACTTTTTGCAAGAGCTGTGGCTGTGATTTAGGTCAGCTGAGGCAAACCTCAGCTAGGAGGAGGAACCGTTCTCTTCCCCTTATCGCAAGGCACAAGTTCTGCATGGTTTGGCCAAGAGGAAGAAGCTTCCTGCATACTTATCCTGGGAACAGTACATTCTAAAGAAACAAATGCATCCTCAGGGAATTAGATAATGTCTACAAAGAACTTTAAGAGGGTACTTATCAAATGAAAAGGAACAGTCTGAATCTAGATCTGTGTATCCACTGAGGCATGATATTTGGGCAATGTGGGTAAAGTGTTATTGAAGAATTGCTTGCTTTGTTAGAAGAAGAATATAAAAGGAGCTTGCAAATAAACCTCAGCATGCAGTTGCAATTGCTGCCTTGGCTCTGCATCCCCTGTGTCCTGGTTATTTCGTGACCCTTACCCAGGGACCCGAACGCTCTAGACATTCACAGGCTTATACAACTATAGTAATTTCACTAAAAGGTGATGATAAAGTTTGAACATTTCTGAACTAATTCTTTTTATTTTATTTATTTATTTATTTTTGTTTCTGTACATCAGGTGTCCAAGTGTTCTGAAGAAATAAAGAACTATATAGAAGAACGTTCTGGAGAAGATCCACTGGTGAAGGGAATTCCAGAAGACAAGAATCCCTTTAAGGAAAAAGGCAGCTGCATTATTTCATAAATAACTCTGGGGAGAAACCTCATCCTCAGTGTAAGAGCTAGTTGTTTTAGTTTCCCCAAATAAAACCTACCGGCCTTTTAAGGAAGGAAAAATGAAGTCTAAAGAAGAAATCTCTTAAGCACTATATTGATAGGTTTATATATAAAAGCATATCTGCTTCTCATCTTTGCTCACTGTATGCCCTTTTTAAGAGGACAGAATATCTGATGTACCATCATGGAATTAAGGACATGAATTGTGCATGACTCACCTCTTTTAATATGTTGCTTGATGCCCTAAATAAAGTTTCATCTTGGGAAAATAAGTGTTGGTGATTTCAGAAAGCACTTTTCATGCATTAGCTACTATTCCTTTCTGTAACCTACTGAGTGTTTGGGAAATGGATGAGAAGATCAAGTGGTGTGTTGGATCAGGTCTCCAAATCAGCTCTCTCTGTTTCACGTGTTTACTGTGCTGCATTCTGACTTCTGGAATGTGTTTGATCTAACCCCATTAGGAAACTGAGTAGGTTGAATTCCTAATAATGTTGACAGGATTCAGATTATCCGAGTCAGGAGCCAGGCCAAGCCATGTCTACATTAGCACTTTCCCCAGTTTATCATCATTTAGATTTTGTTCAAAATGTTTATGCATCAGTGGCTTTGGGAAAAGGCCCAGGCTGGAAACAGAGATACCCCTCCTACCTGCAGTGCAGTGGGAGGGCCAGCCCTGGCTTTGAGGATCTAGCCAGTATGTTTGCCATCAAAAAGCTGTATCTTCGAGGTGCTCTTTAGCAGATGCAAGCCAAACATGACTATTTTTCTTCTCCTAAAAAAAAAAAAAAAAAAAAAAAATACAGTGAACCCTGGTCCATTTAAAAAATTGATTTGCCTTTTAAATACTGATTAGTAAGAATTTTTTACATATTTTGGGCACTCATCCTTCATTGATGATAACATGTTGCAAATACTTTCTACTCCATGACTTCAGTTTTCTTAGTGATGTTAGCTGCAGTTGGGTTTAGCTGGAGAGTACTAAATACAAGTTACTTCATGAAGACCTCAAAGAAAGGTAGTTTTCTTCCTCTCTATGCAGTTTCCCTCTTTTCCACACTATCTTTGGTTGCAAAGTGCTCCAGATTTGGGCAAAAGAGAAACAAAAGTTACTAACTTGTCTTGTGATTTAAACTGTGGCACTGGAAGCCCATACTTCTTATATTTTCTCCCACTCACATATGTAAGTGTGCCTTCCTTATTAAGCCAGAGAGGTATCTGTGGTCTATAACAGCTTTCTAAAGTATATTAGTCTTCTTGCTCTGACATACTTGAAAGAAAACCGGATACCAAGGCTTTTCAAAGAGTAGATTACATCAAACCCCAAACAGAGACTATTTCCTTCAGTTTCCTGTCATTTTCCAAGTGATGACATCAATTAGGATTACTGAGAGCCCAGGGACAATTCTAGTCTAAAGCATGATCCAATCCAAGGTAAGATTTAAGAGTATAACATATATTTCTTCCAAGCACCATTGAAAAATTAGTATTGAGAGTGTTGCTGCTATTAGTCATTTAAAACTTAATAAAACATGGCATTTTACTATCTTGGTGCTTCTAAAGTTTTACTTTGATGAGCTGCTTCATTGCTTTAAAGTTATCCAATTTTGTTGCATAATAAAGAAAACATCTATTCTGGTCACTGGTAAAGCAGATCAGCACGTTTATCCTCTAACATCTTGAGAGCTGTATTACCAGGCTGTCTCCCACTCAAAATATCAGTCACATTCAGCCATCTATCACAAGTCTTACCTTTTGTTCTTCATGTCCCAACTATCTGACAAATTAGCCAACCAGTTTCCAGTTTTCTCTAATAAATAGCCAATCTTGTAGCTGTTTCTACTAAATCAAAACTGTTATTAATTTTTCTTACTTTGTCATCATAATTCAGCAAACCAATAGAAATATAATAAAACTGTTTTGTTTTTCAAATGTTTAAGTGCTAGAAACTTATAATAGTAAAAACTACAATGACTAGTATTTGAATGTTATAAATGTAATATTCAGTGATAACTTTTAAGTAAAATTTAAATAATTACTCAAATTTTTGCAAGTAGATAATTGTGTAATCATTTGATATTGATTAAAATTAGTTGCCATATTTTGTGCATTGAGATTTAAATTCTTTGAACTCATCCTAAGTTAGAAAAATTGATCTTTTCTATTCTTAGAAAGAATCTAGATTACAAGCTCACCTACACTTAGTATTTTAAGATCACATATTTTTTATTTTGGATGAGAATTGGTTTAGACAATAGTAAGAATTAGTATATCACTACTGTTTAAATTTGCATTTCCTTGATTTCCAGGGATTTTTATTGTCAACTTTTAACTTAGGTCAGTTTTCTATTTTTAACTTTCCTGTTATCATCTTTTTCTCATTTTGAATACTAGTTCATTTTTTTTCTCATTAAGTTGTAGGAACTCTTCATATATTTGAGACAGTCATTCTTTGTGGTGATACATCTAGGGAATAACTTCTCTTATTCCATTAATTTTTCACTTTGTCTATTGAGAACTATTTATTGAAACACAGAGGATTTTTCACTTGTTATTTTTTTTGAAATAATTATAAATTCACAGGAAATCACAAAGAAATGCACAGTGATAACAGCAGGTATAAAATTTGGTCAATTTAAGCAGATGAAATGAATCTTTAAAATCATGGTTTAAAAACAGTTTGGCAGTGTCAAGAATCAAAATTGTAAAGGGCAAATTTTAAAATTTTTAGAAAAATATGTAGAAGAATATCACTTTCAGGTAGAGAAAAAAACTTCTTAAAATATCACATGTACACACACACACAAACACACACACACACACACACACATACATATGCCAAGTTCTAAGATAAAAATTCATTGTTTCACTACTTAAATTAAAATCTTTATATCCAAGGCAGCTGAGGGCAAACAGTTCCCTCAGAGGAGACCTAGAGTCACACTGAGCAGGAGCTTCAGCAACACCAGTGGGAAAAAGCAACCTTGAACAGCATCACAAGATCCCTGAAAATCAAACCAAAGTCCACAAAAGTAGTTAAAACCTATGTACAGGGACTGGGGTTGTAGCTCAGTTATGGAGCACTTGCCTCTCAGGTGTGAAGTACTGGGTTCGATCCTTAGCACCACATAAAAATAAATAAGCAAAATAAAGATATTGTGTCCATGTATAACTAAAAAAAATTTAAAAATGTTAAAATAGAAATTTTAAGTAGGATCAATAGTTTCTTATGTAATAGCCAAACTATTCATGAGAAAATTGAAATTCTTTGTTTTATTAAAAAAAATCAGATGAAAATGCAATCTGAGTAGAAAAGACAATCAACTGATATCAATACCAATATGATTCAGGTGTGAGAATTATCTAACAAATATTTTAAAGCAATCATCATACAAATGCTTCAACAATCAATTACAAAGTCTCTTGGTACAAAGAAAGAAAAAAAAGGAAAGGAAAGAAAAAGAAAATCCCAACAAAGCACTAGAAGTTACATAGAAATACTTAGTGAAAATTGTAGAAAATACATAATTGAAAATTTAAAAAATAAATCTAATTATGTAGTCTCAAAAATAGAGCAGTAATGAGAGGATAGGATCAGTGGGCTTGAACACCAATCTATGGTATTTACTCAATTTGAACAACAGTAAATGAATTGAAAAAAAAAATGAACAGATTCACAAGAACATATAGGATAATAACAAAAGATCTAAATGGGCATAATCGGAGTGCCCACAGGAAAACAGTCAAGTGGGATGAAGAAGTAGCAAGAGAAAAATAATGGATGAGAACTTTCAAAATTTGGCAAAACACATAAATCTACTGGTCAGGAAACTGAGCAAACCACAGATAAAATATATTCAAAGAAATTCACACCTAAAGACATCATAATTAAGTATCTTAAAATGAAAGACCAAGGAAAAAACTTTTTGAAAGACAGAAGTAAATAATACATTATGTAAAAAAGGAAAAAAAATTTTGGATTAAATGGATTTGTCCTCAGAAAACATGGACCAGAAAGAAGAGGCACAGCATCTCATCTTAATAAACTAAATGAAAAGAACTGTTAAAATTAAATCCTATACCAGTGGAACTACCCTTCAAGAATAAAGAGAAAATAAAGACATTCTAAGGAGACATTCTCCTAAAGGAGAATTAGGAGAACTGACTGGTAGCAGACCTTCTCTTGAAGAATGCCCAGAGGATGCTCTTATAACACAAAGACTATACTGACAACAACAAGGTTTTTACTTTGAGAAAGAAAGAACAAAAGATAAAGAGTAAAGATTGAAGCAGACATTATAGACTGTCCCTCACTTTATGAGGTTCCAGGCAGAACATGCTAAAAGTCAAGCAAATTAAGTCAAGTCATGGGAGGTCTAATATGATGCAAAGAAGTGAAAAATCCAGGTAACTACTCGGGACAAAGAGTATATATTCGTTTATTTATTCAACAATAAATATGTATGGCACTCCCTCTATGCTTGGTCCTGGTTTAGACCTAAGAAATGCAGTGATGAATTGAAGTCCTTAATGTCAGGCCATTTATAGAAATTCTAATTAATCAGATAAGAATATATTATGATATATAAGATAGAATAAACAAGAAAGTGGTTTTTGTATTTTTTAGTGATGATCATAGCTCATACATACAAAATGCTTAATATTTTCTCAGAACTGGAGTAAGCTTTTTATGTAATTTATAATATTCAATTCTCATAAATACCTTATATAATAAGGCAAAAAACTTGCACAGTCATATTGCTAGTTTAAATGGCTGTGTTAGCCAGCTTTCTGTTGTTGTGACCAAAATATCTGACAAGAACAGCTTAGAAGAGGCAGGATTTATTTTGGCTCACAGTTTCAGGATTCAGTCCATGGTTGGCTGGGTCCAAGGTAGAAATATCATGGCAGAAGGACATGGCAGAAGAAGGCTGCTCAGCTCATGGCAGGCAGGAAGCACGGACAGAGGTAGAAGGGGCAAGAAAGAGAGAACCTTTTTAGCACATACCTCCAGTGACCTACTTCCTCCAGCTAGGTCCAACCTCCCACCAGTCCATTCAGCTATCAATGCATTGATCTAACTATTGAGGTCAGAGCTCTTATGATCCAATCATTGCCTAAAAGCCCTACCTCTAAATCTTGCTGCATTGGAACCAGGTTCTGAACACATGAGCTTTGGGAGGAATATTCCAGATCCAAACCATAACACTGGCGAAACTGTGCCTGAAATACTATATAATACTAATGACCTTATGGGACTCAATGATTATGAGGAGAGAAAAGAAGTATTACCTAAACAACTTTCTGAAGGGACGTTTGGCATAGTGATTAAAGCCTTGTTAAAGTTTAGCTTTTCTGTTTGATGCAATGTTCTGTAGTAGCTTATTTTAGTTGTTTCTGACTTGGTTTTATCTAATCACAACCTAATATGATTGTAATAATTTTAGTGTATGCCAACTTAGTGAATTTTGCTTTCATTTTAAAAAATCACTCCTCTAGATTATTATGACAGTGATGAACTATAATCATGCATAAAATAGCTTTTGCTCGTTTGTTGAATAATATAGTTTCAATTTAACACCAGAAGTTATCTGATGGTAGCCACACAAATTATGGTAGACTGCCTAAAAGAAATCAATCAAACTGTAAAGATTTTCTTGAAAATAGCAAAATTATTGAGGTATAGGCAAGCTAGCCCTAGACAATTGTTTATAGGTACTAAAGAATCTTTTCTAAGAAGTTATCAAATCCCCATTATCTGTAAAAACTTGGGTTTTCTATAATCAAGGTAACCACAGGTTTTAGCTTGTCACATCTTAATCTTGGACCCAGTCTATGACAGTTGTTGTAAATGATTTACTTTACAGAGTTAGTTTGAGAATTAATGGACCTGATTCCCTGGACTGTGGAATAGAGATCTTTAAATTTGAAAAAATACTCATGTCTTAG